AGTAGTTCGCGGGGTCGTATTAACGATTTCAAAATGTTTAATAAATGATTTCTTAAGCAAAGAGATCTTGTGAACTGGTAATAGAGTCTATTGCTGTAAGCCTAGATAGGATGAGGAGATTACATCCTCGGGGGCAGAACCCGAACCCGGTCCGGGTAGGCGAGGCACTTGGTTAGGTAAGTAATTTGTACTAATTACTTGCTGAAGCCTGTAACATGGTTATTTTCAGTTATAGTTCCTTTGAAAAAAAGGATGTGAGGTTCCGGCTGTTCTGTCGGGACTGAATGTCTTATTTTATTTATGTATTCAATTATTCATTCATGTGCTCATTTATTTTAAATATTTCAAATTATATCCTCCTGGGCCTTTCGCTCACGTTTTATGTTTCAAATGTCTAAAACCCCTCCCAGGAGACTCTAGGAGCGGGGCACAGTAGAGGGCGTAGTTGAGTGGTGCTACGGAACGATCAAGTGAGGATTGTGTTCATCCTCTGACATAAAGTGTAAGGAATATGTAAGAATTTGTAATAAATGACATTTGAATTTACTAGACTGTGGATGATGTCTATTGTAATTGATTATTCATTCATGTATGTACGATACTGTATGTCCTGTGGGGTGGAGCCATGTGTGTCAGAGGCTCCTGGATTATGTCGTTTATTTATATTTTTATGCAGTTATGTGTGAGACCCGGTTGGGAATCTACTTTATTAATCCCAAATCGAGTTCTACGTCACCCACCCCGTTTGGGTGGCGTGACAGAAATACACTCATTCAATATCTCACCATATTAACAGTGCGGATAGCACCGTTCCATTCTAAATGGGAATGACATGTATTAATAATGTTTTAATTAAAGATTTTGAACTTTAATTAAATTCATTATGAACAACATTTTTTCTTATTATCCTTAAACATTATCCTCTCGTATATAACACTTATATACAATGTTTAAGGTTACATAAATAATCACGGAATTTTCATTTGATATTCATAAAATATTCATAAATATACGCACATAAAATGATGAATAAACTCTTTTATTAATTAAATAATAAATATCCTATTACATCTCATGCTTCTAGGACACTATTCCCAACAATAAATTGATAAACATCTTACTGACATTTTAAAAAATTATAATAAAAACATAACTAAAGAAAAAAAAATTGAAGGAAAATAACTAAACAAATTTAGAAGAAGAAAGAAATTTCTTTTCTTTTTTAAGGGAGAAGGGAAAAACACACCCTTATATTCACGCAGTGAAATAAATTGAAATAAAAATAACAGAAAAATAGATAAGATGCAGATTTAGGTGGATCGAAAAAATTTCCTACATCTATGGGAGTAGGAGAAAAAAAAACTCACTAACAGTTTTAGAATTACACACTTTCTCACTTTCTTTCTCTACCCAAAACCCCTTACACCCTTGTCTATCTCTTTCTTTACCTTTCTTTCTCTCTTAAAAGGATGCACTCTTTCTCTGCACTTTTCTCTGGGCATACTTTTCTCTGAACACACATAAAGTCTTACACAAAGCACTTAATTATAGACTCTTAATAAGCCATAAAATAACTCTTACCCAACAAAATGAAAATAGTAACTTACTCAAAAATACAAAATTATTACTTTTCTAAACTAATTTGAATAACTTATCTAACAAGAAATTTATTTTGCACACTAATTAGTAATAGAGCCATTATTTCTATTTCATGAACTAACTTGAAAGGGCGAGTTTACTATAAAATAATAGAAGGATAAAAAATAAATTTTAAAAAATAAAGAAATTATAAGTCAACAATTCAAAATTTAGATTTTACTAACGTGTTTACTAATCTATTAGAATCAAATTACTAGGAAAATTAAATTCTTATTCTACTATTTGTACATTCCTTAAAAAATAGAAAGATTTAAAATAAATATATGTGGAAAAAAATACTCTTAGGTGAAAATAATTAAATTGAAATGAAGGAACATTTGTAAAGAAGTCGTTAGTCCTTGTTTTTTAGAAAAGAAATTTAAGGGGTTGTTCTTTTACAATAAAACTCAGAAAAAATTTAAATTTAAGTTACAACTTTATTCAAGTTCACGTTCTTTTAAGCTTCAACTTTATTCAAATTACAACTTTAAACTCAAGTTATAACTCAAATTCAACTCAAAAACTATATTTAAGTAACACTCTAAAAGAACAACCCCTTAATCCATCAGTAAAAGGTAGGAGATAAGTTCCCACTTATGAGCAAACTCAATCGCTTATGAGTATGTTAGGAACACTAATTTAAATATTAATTTTTATGTATCCGTTGATGTGGCATATAAATTATTATTTTTTATTAGTAGATATAATTTTTATTACTAATGTGATAATATTTTAAACACACACTAATATAAAAATGACAACTCATTAATATACAAAAATTAATATTTAAGTTGGAGTATCTAACACTATTCATTTATTATTTATAAGTGTGTCACCCCATTAAATTCTTAAATAATACAAAAAGAAATGTAAAAAGCTTTTTCATTTAAAAAACTCTTTTTTTTTTAAAAAGTACTAGAATAATAAAGGACTCTTTATGCAAAGAATAAAATGAAGGACTTAATTCTAGGAAAAGAGAGACAGTTCCGCATTAGATTTACTCCGCACGCCTCTAAGGCGGAGTTGCTTTTCGGAGACGCATGGCATAATTCTAATTCTAGGGAAATTGAATTTCTTTTCAATGCATAATGTAATGTATATAATTTTTCCTTAAAAAACCAGGATAATTATTATTTTTTAAACTAAGACGATCTCCAATGTATATATTGATACTAATTATATATTTACCATCAAAAAATAAGATATGCTATGTTATTTTCATTTTTACTCAATGTATAATGCTATTTTAAAATTCTAAATCTACAATTGCATGAAAAAATAACATTTCAATTAAGCAATCAAATGTCAAATTTCTCATATGCAATACTTAGTAATAAATTTGTCACAAAATATAACATATGAAAAATTTAGCACAATAAATAACATCGAATTAGAGAATTTTTTTACGTTCAAATACTAAATTTGTAATTAGGACATCAATTATAACATTGCATTAGAAATGCTTTGATTAGAGTTTTTCTTAAAAAAATTGAACAATATTTTTTAAAAAAGAAAATTAACTTTTCTTAATCTTAATCTTAACTTAATCTTATCTCACAATAAAAGAGAGGAACGCGAATAATTATTTTATTTTATTTTATTTTTGCTGGATACGCGACCAATTATTTACAAGAGAATAACTACCTCTAATAAAGAATTCAATTCGACCGCTGTCTTGCAGACCAAGCAAACTCGCAAAGTCTCTCTTCTCAAACATCGTTCAGTCACCATTCTAGGGTTTCGAAGGTTCGCCATTTCCAGTCTCTCTTCGTCCTTCGCCTTCAGATTTCGCTTATTTTCTGCACCTTTCGTTGCATTCTCTGGTCGGACCGTGCGTTTCTCGTAACAGAATTAAAGCATAATATCTCCATCTTTGTTCTTCTCCACTTTGTATGTCCACTTTGCAAGTTTTATTTTTTAGGGTTTTTTCGAGGTTTCTTGGACACTTTCTGAGTCCTGTACAACGCTTCTCTATTTTGGTTTCGATTGTTCTTTGTATTTTGTTTGTTTCGAAAGGAACGAAAGCGAAGAAACACGTTTTTGAATCTTGGAAGAATCGCCGTTTATTGTAAAGAAATCAAGAAATTGGATTGAAAAATATTATCTTTTTCTTTCTGTTTCGTTTCTCCATTAAAATTTTTATCGTTAATCGTAATTAGATATTGAAATTGGCTTCTTTGCTTTGTGAACAGAGAATGGACGACAATCTGATTACAATGGACTCTGATGATGACGAGATTTTCGACTCCGATGAAGATATTTTTGATGAAACTGTTGATGTGATGAATGCTAGGCTTTCACTAACGAAGTCCACACGGGGATTTCGCGTGGTAAGCATAGAAGATTGTTATTTAAGAATTGTTATTTAATGGCCAAAACTTGATTGTTTTGTGTTAATCTCTCTTCTCTTCTGTTCTTAATTGTCATTATCATTCTGTTGCTGGAAATATACCATATCTATCACGTTCTTGTTAGTTACCTGTTGCATCTAAATATTGATCCAAATATATATTTCTCTAAATTCAACAATTTCGATATAAGATCTTGTTCTTGCTCGGTTTGTAGTAAAACAAGCTGCTAAAGGGTTAAGCAATTGGAAGTTTCAAGATCAAGTTCTTTTTACGTTTCCTCTGAATCCGCTAAGTTACAAATAATACTTCTACATTTTGCTTCTTACTTTTTGGAACTTAATATGTGTTATCTTATGAAATTTTCTGATTATATGCTTTTTGTGACATATTTTTATGATTAATTGCAGTGTCATGAACATTCAGATGAAGAAATCGATCAAGATACCGATGGTTGTTCTAAATGTTCTAAATTGTGGAAGCATAAGAAGGACATGACCATTCAAGATGTTGTGAAGGAGCAAGTTCTTTGTTTACTCCCAGCCAAAGCACTTTGCAGGTGCAAAAGTGTTTGCAAAGAGTGGAACCAGTGGATCACTAGACCTTTCTTAGCACACTTGCAGTCTTACTCTTTCCGCGACATCTCTGGTCTTTTTTGCCAAATTCCCTACACAATTAAACCCTTCTTCATCTCACTAAACCATTCTGCTTCTGGCGTTCCCAGCCCCACCCTCAGTTTCTTGCCCGAAGATGTCAAGGTCTGCGCCACATGCAATGGCTTGCTTTGCTGCAAAAGCCATGTCTCTTTCGACACCAAGTACTACATTTGCAACCCTGCAAACAAGGAATGGATGGTCCTTCCCAAGCCGGAATTGTACCACGGGCTGAACTCAGCCGCGGTGCTAGCTTTTGAGCCTACTGCAGACAATGTCAAAGCGCATTTCCAGCTCATTTGTGCCGTCCCTTTGATTGACACTCCAGTTGTGTATTTCGAGATATACTCTTCACGGTCCAACTCTTGGCGTGCTGCGAAGACAGAGTGCTGGGAGCCAGATGCTTTGGTCCTGAATGATGATGGATTCTTCTTGAACGGAGTTGCCTTGTGGGAGACTTCTCACAGTGATCAGGTCCTGGCTTTTCAATTGAAGGATGAGCAATATGGCACGCTTCCCCTCCCTCAAAGAAAGGGATCGAAAGGAGCTTTGTCTGCAATTCATGGAGAGTTGTGTTACATTCTGCCTCATGAAGAGGAAAATGAAGTGACAATGGAGATCTACGGAGGTTTGAATATGAGCCTGAAGTACAACATTCCTCTGAGTCCTGAAGCCTGCTCTGAAGTTGGTGGAAAAGAGTTGAGGGCATTGCCTTGTGTGAATGAAGATCTGCTGACGCTTCTTGTTGGAAATAAGATGTGTGTTTATCACGTGAAAGAAGGGAAGCTTGAGATTATCAGAAACGTTTATACTCAAGATGGGAGGTTTCTGCCCTATGTGAACAGCCTTGTGCCTGTTGGTCAACAGTTGGTGGAGAATGATGAATATAGTGGCATTTGAACGGTTTTAATTTGAAGATTTCTTTTATGACTTTTTCTTTTGATTCATAGGATGATTTGGAGATTTCAACTCTTGAAATTCTCCACAGCTCATTTTGTAGGAGTACTCTACTTGTTTGAACTGATTCTTGTATTTTCTTTTGTTTGTTCATTTGCTTTAAAGCAAAAAGTAAGTTTGTCTGTGCCTTTAGCTATATGTACATGAAAAACGCTTCTTTGTTTGGACTTGTTTTGCCGCTTTTTCTCCGAAGGATATGGGAAAATCTTTTAATGGATAAAGAGATAGAAATTTGAAAAATACGAGCTTCAAATCAAAGTCTGTTTTAATTACTGGTAATTATAGTAGTGGAAATGGAGCCCATCTTTGAAAACTCTTTATAATATAGTTTGATCAACGTCAAAAATGACTAAACTAATGTATGTAATTGGAGAATTCTACAACATGGTATGAAAACAATAACCCATTTAGATTTTCACTTTAGATTTGGTCACTTTCGGGGTTTTTTTTTTTTTTTTTTCTTTTGAGAAAATTACATAACTTGATCTTAGAAGTACACGAGTTTAAATTTTATTCATTACTCTTGATTAATACTATTTTAATTAATATAGTATTTAAATTAAAACAGTATTAATTAAGAGTAAAAAGTAAACATCAAGACTCGTGCAATTTAAATAAGTATTTATTTCTTTTTCCCTTTTTTTGTTGATGTGATTATGCTTAGTACCCCACCGTAAAAAGCTCCTATGTAACAATGAATTGAAGTCGGAGATTTTACATGAAGAAATGGAGAATTCTTTAAAAGGGTATTAAAAATAAACCATCGATGGAATAAAAGTTTTTAAAAAACATCCTGTTAAATTGCATCCGATACGACTCTAATTTGATCTTAATTAAATTTGTACTTGATTTGGGATCTCACTGTTAAAAACCGGATCCAACGGATAGGGTATTTTTGTAACCAACGACAGAATTCTCCTTAAAGAAATATACCTATATTATATTTCAAAAAAAAAAAAAAAACCCCTGTATTATGTTCATAGCTTTTTGTACTTAATTTGCATTTAACTTTTCTTTTGCTATATTTAGGGCCGTGTTCGTACAAGTGTACAGACAAGCGTCCATTGAGGAGAAAAGATTTGTAGTGGAAGTTAAGATTTGTGATCAATTTGGCAATCTCTATAGAAAATTACAGAATTTACGTGCATGGTGGCTATGAGGTGGAAGCTAAGGCTAATTAAGCAGGAAACGGTAAAAGAGAAAACTAAATCAAACTAAGTTAAGAAAAAAGGCAGTTTGAGAAAATTAAGAGGCCCTTCTTTGTAAAACGCGCTTGGGGAAGGAAACTGTCCCTCTTTCAATTGTGGAATCTCCCCCAATGCTTCCTCTTCAATCAGGTAACTTTTTCCCTATTACAAACATTTTGTCCTTTTTTTACTTTTTCCAATCAAACCAAGAAAGAAAAAAAAAACATTGATAGTGCATGAATTAAACAAAAACTCAAATGTACAACACATTTTTTTTAATGGAATTTTGATCAGTTGGGTTTTTTCTTGATGCTCTCATGTATGAATAAATGCAGAGGAGGGTTAGTGACATTATCATTTAGTGGTAATAAATGTAAGAAAAATCATTCTTTGGTTTAATTTGCATGGCTTGTTTTAATTACGTGTTTGTGTTTCCTGCAATAACTTTTTTTTTTGGGGGTGATATTTTAATCATATTTACAGAGGAATTTGATCATTGAGATAGATCATGAGCAGTTGCAGAGGAGGTGAAGGCTCCTGAACCAAAAATCTTTGGCTGGAAGTTCATCACCTAATAATGTCTTCCTCGCCTTCTGTGACTGCTCCGTCCCCTACCTCAGACTCGGCGACACCGCCGCCAACTCCACCGACATCAACATCGCCCCCACCATCATCTTCGCCGTCACCGTCACCGCCATCCAGTTCCCCGCCCCCGAAGGCGTCACCACCACCTCCAGAGGATAAATCATCGTCCCCTCCACCACCTTCTGACAATGCCTCTCCTCCACCTACTCCAAAGAGCAACAACTCAAGTCCTTCTCCTCCGCCGCCACCAACCAATCTCGTCTCGTCACCTCCCCCACCCCATTCTTCTGCCGCTATACCACCGCCGCCGCCAGAGAAGTCTCCGCCGTCGAATTCCACAACGTCGAGCTCCTCCAATACCTCGTCGGGCTCAGTTGCTCTTTCGACATCCACCAAGCAGTTGATAGTTGGAATGACTGTGGGAATAGGGCTGTTTTTACTAGCTATGGTGGTCGTGTGCATGATCTGTGCGAGGAGAAAGAAGAGAAAGCGCGATCATGATCAAATGCAGTACTACGGTGATCCTTCTCATGGTCGCAAAGGTGACAAAACAAAGCATAACAGACGTGATTATCACTATTTGCTTTTTTTTTTTTTTTAAACTGCAATAGATGGTTTTGACATAAAAAAATTTTGTGAATGCACATTAAAATTCTAAATCTCATGCAATTTAAGCAAAACAAAGCGGAAAAAAGGTGCTAATGTGGGATTTGTCATTAGAAAACTTCTGTGAATAACATATACTTTTTTTTTTGTTAGGTACAAACGATATATTATTACTTGCACGCTTTAACATGATAAAACTTTAGGTGATAAATTGCATTTGATTTTTCTGTGAAGACGGTGGATTTCATAAGGATCGGGATAGTTAGACCAAAGTTATATCAAAAGTCAAAGTGACAAATATGGTGAAAATAACTCAATTATTTTTGCATCGATAGCACGAGGGAATTCATGTCGTGGTGATATATGGTTGAATTTGTTACTTTTTGAACAGATAATATGTATTACAACAGTTCACAGAACCCAAACTGGCACATGGGTCCGCAAGTACAAGACCACGTGGTAAGGCTCAACCCGTCACCGCCAGGCCCAATGGCTGGTTCACCGCGCGGGGCATGGCCCACACCCCCTCCTCCTCCTCCACCTCTAAACAGCGGCGAAATGGTGAGCGGCAATTTCTCAGGTCCGCGCCACCCGCCGTTGCCACCTCCCTCACCAGCACTCTCACTCGGGTTCAACAAGAGCACCTTCACCTATGACGAGCTTGCAGCCGCCACTAGCGGGTTTTCGCAGGCCAATTTGCTTGGCCAGGGCGGGTTTGGGTACGTGCACAAAGGAGTCTTGCCCAATGGGAAAGAAGTCGCGGTCAAGAGCCTCAAGTCGGGAAGTGGGCAAGGAGAGAGAGAGTTTCAAGCGGAAGTGGAGATCATCAGTCGGGTTCACCACAGACATCTTGTGTCACTTGTTGGGTATTGCATTGCTGGTGAGCAGAGAATGTTGGTCTATGAATTTGTTCCCAATGGAACATTGGAACATCACCTATATGGTATACTTATTTTTCTTATCCCTTTTGACATGAATTTTACTTCATTCATTGTTGCACATCATACATTACACTTTTGTGTATTTTGGCTGCAGGAAAGGATCTTCCAACCATGGATTGGCCGACCAGGCTTCGGATTGCGATAGGATCGGCCAAAGGGCTTGCATATCTTCATGAAGATTGTAAGAGTTTCACCAAAACTCTCTCTCTCTCTCAATCTATCTTTTTAATACAATACGGAATCAAACACATGCCTCACATATATATTCCCGTTTGATCTAATAGTCATTGGTGATATTCTTTTCTATACTCTGTTTATGATATAAATATGTACACTTATTTTATTTATTTTTTATTCTGCATGTAGGCCATCCACGAATTATCCATCGTGATATCAAAGCTGCCAATATTCTCCTTGATTACAACTTTGAAGCCATGGTATGCGTTGTAACATATATACACACTTAAGCAACTTATTCTGCAAATTTAAATGGCTAGAATGTGGTAAATCACGCTCCACTTTTGTTCAGGTGGCTGATTTTGGGTTGGCTAAGCTGTCTTCTGACAACTACACTCATGTGTCGACAAGAGTCATGGGAACATTTGGGTACGTTATAAGCAACAATTCATTAGTATATCTAGTTTGAAATTTATTAATAGTCAATTATAAGTAAAGACTAAAGTACTTAGAAATGATAATTATAACTTTTTATGTGCAATATTCTTTCTTAAGTACGCTATCATAAGTTGGTCCAATTATAATAATTCCTATGCTAATGCAGGTATTTGGCTCCAGAATATGCATCAAGTGGAAAGTTGACAGAGAAGTCTGATGTTTTCTCATTTGGGGTCATGCTCTTAGAGCTTATAACTGGAAGAAGACCTGTAGATCCCAATAACGCAATTGACGATAGCTTAGTGGACTGGGTTTGAACATCTGAAGCCTTCCATTAAATTCAATTTCTTACTAATTCCCATAATTTATATTTTTTCTCATTGAGGCTTGTTCTCAAACATTACTTGTCCAGGCTCGGCCGCTCTTTCAACGTGCCCTAGAGGATGGCATTTACGACGAGCTAGTGGATCCGCGGCTGGAGAACAACTACAACCCTCGTGAGATGGCACGCATGGTCGCTTCCGCTGCAGCCAGCATCCGCCATTCCGCTAGAAAGCGGCCCAAGATGAGCCAGGTAAGGTGTTTGAATTTTTTATAGAAAAAAAATGTAGCAAACGCGCACACATGTTTGATTATTAAAAAAAAAAAAAAATGTTGTTTATCACTATTTAGTGATACAATCACGCACACATGTGTTTAGGATTTAATACTTTATGTTAATAGAGAGGTTAAAAACACAGTGTTTGAAAAAACATATTATAAATCGTGTGTTTTTAATTTTTTTTCTTTGCTTGTGTGATTTATTGTTCTCAATAGTATGAAATTAGAGTGTCTAATTCTTATTAAAAAAAAGACATTTATCACTACTATATATACACGTCAATTGTTTAGATAGATTTTAAGTGTTTTTTTTTTTTTTTTAAGGTAGCTGTGTTGTTGATTTAAATAGGGAAATTAATTTGTTTATGTGAAAACAGATTGTGCGGGCACTGGAAGGAGATGTTTCGTTGGATGACTTGAACGAAGGGGTGAGACCTGGTCAGAGCACTATTTACACCTCAAGTGGAAGCTCCGATTACGATGCAAATGCCTATGATGCTGACATGAAGAAGTTCAGAAAGATGGCGTTGACCAGCCAGGAATTCGTGAGCAGTGATTTCGGGACTTCTAGTAATGACTCGAGAGAAATGGCTAACCAAAAGCAACAAATTTGACTTTCAACTTTGGAAAACTGTCAATTGTTTGAGTCTGCCAAATTGAATTAGGAATGAAACGACTGCCTCTTTAGGGGTCGTATTTGTACAACAATCATTGGTGTATGGATTTGGGTTCTGAAGATTGTAAGAGTTCCGTTGATGTACTTCAAGTGCTTGTGTGAAACGCGCCATATCTTTGATTGTGTTAATTAGTAGATGATTATTACTCTCTTTTGTAGTGTGGATTTATAATGCACAAATAATTAAACTTGTATTTGCGTGTATGCGATGTCGTTTCTTTTGTATAGTCCTCGTTTTTTTCCCAACTACTGTTGCTCTCTACTGTGGTCGTTAGGAGTCGTTTTCTGTTTTTCGCCTTGTAACTTTGTTGTCGTTTTAATCTTATATCATCGTTTCTAATTCTGACGCGTCCTTCATCGTGTTATGCTGTTTACTCCTTTCTACCAGTTAAGGGTGTTCAGAGAGTATATTACACGGATTAAGGGATTAGAAAAAAAATTCAATTCGTTACTAAGCCCCGACCTAATCTAATCAACTTTGAAAATAACGGATTTCGCGTGAGGCTTTAATAAAAATAACTCAATAGGAAAGTTTTATTAATAAAATAACTTTTAAAAAAAATTTATTTGTAAAATGATAACAAAACGATCAGAAATTATCACTTTTTATAAATAAATAAAAAATGACCGGGTGGTCATTCTTTATAAAAAAATAAAAAAATGTTATTTTGTTAATTTCACTTTATTGGATAATCATTCTAACATATTTCTCGATTAAAATACACAAATTCACGAATTGAGCTTATGTTTTGGGACTTTCAATTTAACACTCTTGTGGGTCACTACTCTTATAAAATTAAAAATAAACACACGTATAAGATAACATAAAATGAAAATGGTTCAACAAAATCCAATTCGTTCCTACATAAACAAATTCAAGTTTTTACAATAAACCAAAATGTAGGGTTAAATGTATCATAACAAACAAACATCAATAAAACTCAAAGTAAAGTCTTCATCATTCATCAACCTTATATATTTTTAAAAGAAAATAAGACAAATACCTCTTAGAAGTGCATAGATTTAGATTTTTACCATTTACTTTTTATCAATAAATATATTAGTCAAAAGATATTAAGGAGTAAAGGGAAAAAATCCAAACTCCTATACTTTAAGAGTAAGTTCAATAATTTTCTCTTTTAAAAAAAAAAAACTCATGTATATGTATAAATATATATCATACATTAAAAAAAAACAAATATATTATACACAATTATTGAGAAATATATAGAAAAAATTATAATACATATAGTTCGGATTGATAGATTATGCGGATTGAGAAATGTTTAATCCGCAATTCAATCCGTATCTTATATATTAGAAAAATCATGATTCGTTACCAATTCAAAATTTTCTCAGCCTAATCCAATTAAGTGAATTGATAGGTTCAATAAACACTAATACTACTAGGTCTCATTCAGTTCTCCAATTTGAGTTTTCAATTTCAATTTATTACAATAAAAAGCTCTCACAAAAAATCACATCTAATTTTTTCTGCTACAATAAATTTTTTTTTTATAAAAAGTCACATTTAAACTCAAATTAAAAATTCAAATCGGAGAACTTATTGATGTCCCGGTCCTCGTTCTCCATTATTTGGCTAGCACGTCACCTTAATAATTGTGCTAAAGAACAAGGACAACATAATATTGGAATCCAATGATGGATTTCTTTTCCTTCTCTTTTGTAAAATTCATGTTAAAAACACTCTTGACGCATCTAATGATGGATTGGTTTTCCTTTTTTCTTTCGTAAAATTCATGTTAAAAACACTCTTGATGCTACACATTGCTCCTTTTTAATATGATGAGACTAGATTTCACGAGCTCTAAAAAAATTTTAGTACTTTTAATTTTGTTTAAAAAGAGTTAATTTTAAAATAGGAGTATATGATAAATTCGTGTCTTATTTGAATTAAGGTTAAGATGATCACTCGAATAATGAACGGAGATCTACATGTGACACTAGTGGCGGAACCACCTTAGATCGAGTAGGGACGACCGCCTATACTGACTTAAAGTGGTCCTTTAATATTACCACAATTAAATTTTATTTTACATTTTTTCTCTTATATTGCCCCCTAATTTTTTCTTTAGTGACATTTATGTGATATGTTTTTCATTATACCTAAAGTTTTACTTTTGAGTATCTTATATTTTAAACTTAAAAATTGTTAAATAAATCAACAATCAATGACATTATGAAATAAGTTCATAATTTTGTGACGTGTACATTTTAAAAGGTGAATTCAACTTAATTAGAAAATTGATTTATTTAAATTAAAAAATATAAAAATAATAAAATAAAATAATATTATTATTATTTTAGTATAAAACTGATAAAAGTTCTTAATTTTGTCACTGCGACACACATAATTATTTTTAAACGATATTTTGATAAATTTTTTAAAAATATGAATTTTAGAAAAAGATAATAAAGTAAAAAAATTACTAAAAGAAGATTAAAAATTATGGTGGCATGAGGTGAGAGTAAATAAATTTTTTTTAAAAAGATGTGAATATCCTAGGTATAGTGAAAATAATTTAGAAATTCAAAAAATATAAAGTCTCATTTATTTTATCGATTTAAATTTAAAATTTAAGTTTTATTACAATAAAAAAATTTTAAAAATAGACACATCTAATTTTTTTATTATAATAAAAAATTTTAAAATAAAATTACATATCAATTTAAATTAAAAATTAGAATAAGTGAATTAAATAGACGCTTAATAATTTTCAACTGGCTATAAATACCCTTGCAAAACCATTCCCCTTTTTTTGTTGCCGCTTTCACGACCTTCCGATTCTACCCGATCGGTTCATTCGGATCCGAACCCCCACCAACCCCACAAACGCATATGATCTTCTTCTCCCATCTGATAATCGCGCACAGAAAAAAACCCTAGCTCATTTCTCTCTCACTCCGCCATGGGAGACTTCAACGATCCCTTCATGCGCAACCAAAACGCCGCCGTCCAGGCCCGCACCAAGGCGCAGAATCGCGCTAATGTCCTTCAGCTTAAGCTGGTTTGTCTCCGATTTCCTGTTTCTGCGAAAGCTTCCGAGTTTCTTCTTCGTTTATTGAAGTTCTAAGGCTGTTGTTCTTCGGTTTTAGCTAGGGTTTTACCATTATTTCTGTAAACCCTAGGTCCGGATTCAAAATACTTGATCCGTATTTTCGCTATCCTGATTTTAAATTTTTGTTGATTTTGTTTTACCTTTTTAATTGTGGATTGATTACTCAAATTCTATTACCTGTTGAATTTAGTCAATTATCCTCTTAAATTGATGTCACAAGTGATTGTGAAAATTGAACTTTTGAATCTATGCGTTTTACGATGCAGTTTTCTCGTTGTATACACACACGCATATAAATATACAATTTTGGTGAAAATTTTGTTCAAAGAGTTGATAATACTGGACTGGATTTATTCGATGAGCGAGTATTAAAGTTTGTTTGGTAATTTGGGCAGATTGGGCAGAGTCATCCCACTGGTCTTACCAACAACCTCTTGAAGCTCTTTGAGCCTCGACCGCCGTTGGAGTTTAAGCCGCCTCCGGAAAAAAGAAAATGCCCTCCTTTGACTGGTTTTAAAAAATATTTATTATTTTTTTTAAATTATTTTTTCCGGTTTTGTTTCTTTTGGGTATTAATATGCGTGCTTCAGAAGTTGATATTTTATTGTTTCTGGTCATCAAGGGATTGCACAATTTGTGAGTAAGTTTGCAGAGCCTGGAGATCCCGAGTATTCTCCACCGGTTCAAGAGGCAGAAACCCCCGTACGTTTTTTTATATTTTTAAGATTTTATGTTGAATTTATCTCTTTTGTTGTGATCAAAATTACTTCGTTAGCCATTAGAATCAATGATAAGAATAGAGAGAAATCAATAATCACGTTATTTTTACCTCTTTTTTTTTGCATATGGTTTGTATTGGTGAAATGATTTTGTCGATTCAGACACAAAGAAGGGCTAGAATACACCATTTAAGACTTGAGAAGGGTGCAGCAAAGGCTGCTGAGGAACTAGAGAAATGTAATGACACTTTTCTTCTTTTACCTGTAATATTGTGGAGCTTATTACCATTGTTATAGCTTTTCTGATATGCCTTTCTTTGCAGATGATCCACTTAATGATCCGAATATTTCTGGAGATCCATACAAGACTTTATTTGTGGCTAGGCTTGTAAGTGACTTTATCTGATAGACTAGTATTTCCAAATTATAGCTTGGATATTTCTACAGTTGACTTGTTACCTGTGTATATCCTCGCAGAATTATGAGACAACTGAGAGCAGAATTAAAAGGGAGTTTGACGTTTATGGGCCTATCAAGCGGGTAGGTATTTTAAGCCCCCAAGGGGATTTGGTAAGAGGTTCCATTTTTTGTTTATAGATTTATCATTTGTTTTTAGTTTCAAAATCCTTAATAAAATGAGAATCTACTCTACTTCTCATCTTTGAAAGTAAAGGTTACAGGTTCGAGTTCCAAATATATTTAATTCGTTCTTTCTTTCTATTTTGTCTGAATGAGCCACCAAAGTACTTTATTTCTTTTCTTTCTTTTTTATTTTTTTATAACTTCCATACGCATAAGATTATTTTAAAATCCACTTTTTGGCCAACTCGACTGTGACAAATGACAAATCTTGTGCAAAATACTTGACTGCAAAAGTGCATAGTAAGTATTTTGATTGTCAAGCTGATCTTTGTTGCGTTTTGGATTTGTGTAATGGAAGATAGAAAAGTATCCCTGATATAGATCTACCATTAGTGGAGTGTTGCTACGAGTTTTTAATACAGGTGTCACTGACGATATGCTGATAATGCCTGGCGGGTTTGTTCATTTATCCTTAGCTCTCTCTCATTAGTTATGTTTAGAGATCTTCTTGGAATGGGTCTTTTAGGTCTTTTGTTGGTTTTAAGTTTTAACATTTAAAGACGTATCCCTGGTAAGGGGGGAATTATTCGGTAAATGGATCCCATTATGTTCTACCAATCAAATTCCAAAGATGGGGTGATCATCCTGCACAGCAAAGCCCTTTTAATTTGAGAAGAGCAGTGATGCATTGGGCCTTTTGGCCTTTATTTCAAGGAACAAAAAGAGAATGACAACTTCTATTCTTTTCCAGCACTGGGTAAAAAATCTAGGGAGTATTAGTTTCTCTTTCTCCTTATTTTGATTTTTTAATACCTGCACTTTTTGCTACTAAAAGTTGTATTTTTGACCTTAAAGGCTCTCAAATAAGTATCAGCGATCAAGGTGTCCTGGTATTTTCTAGTCTTTACAACTTTTTCTTAATTATATAAAAAATTTTCCCTGGTAAGGGGAGGTTAATATGTTCAACAACTGGTAAATTGGCCACATTAAAGCCCATTTTTCTGCAACTCTAGCTGGTGGTGATGCATCTTGCGATTGGAAGCCTATGATATAAAGGTGAGCACGGCTAATTAGGCATAGTGCCTGTCTGCCGTGCCGTTTAGGATTTAACTCTCAAGTTTCTGTAGTACATTTGCTCAGTTGCAGACGTTAGATAGCGTTTGTGTATAATTTTTGTTCTCCTTAACAAACTCTTAACTTAGGATCTGTATAATCTTGCTTTTCTGGCTTATTCATTTTTTTTCCGTGTCTCCAGGTTCGTTTAGTTACTGACAAGGAGACAAATAAACCACAAGGCTACGGGTTCATTGAGTACGTGCATACAAGGGACATGAAAGGTTTGCTTAGTTGCGACATCTTATTGTTTTCTGTCCGATACCCAAGCCTTGAATTACTTTGTTTCTGACCACTGATTTATGCATCATACAGCTGCATACAAACAAGCTGATGGGAGGAAAATTGAAGGTAGAAGAGTGCTTGTAGATGTAGAACGTGGGAGAACTGTCCCGAACTGGCGACCTCGCCGACTGGGTGGTGGGCTTGGAACCACAAGAGTTGGAGGTGAAGAAGTAAATCAGAGATATTCTGGGAGGTAATGATTTTTTTTTTTGTTGTTGGGGATACCTGGAAGGGAATGAATCTGGTTTCTGACAGGAAAACTTTGTGGTTTATTGGGAAGAGTTATATGATGCTGTGTGATGCAGATCGTATTTTTGAAACCTAAATATAAGGGATACATTCATACGAAATATGCTTCATTGCCTGTTCTTATGTATCATTTTTTCATGTGGTATAGGAGTAAAATTTTAACTGTTTTCGATTGAAAGTGTCCTTGTGTACTAGTTTGACTTTCAATTGGATCAAGTATTACTTTTTTGTCATGTTTATGGTGTTAAACTTTGAAACTATTTTTTGATCCAATATGAAGCATGTTCTCTCCCCCAATTTTTTTTTTTTTTTTAATTTTTGTTTATTGCACAGGGAGCAGGAAGACCTCGATCTGAGGAGCCGAGGACAAGGGATGATCGGCATGTAGACCGGTAAGATTATATATTTAGATCTCTATAAATTTTCGCCAACTGTTCTTAAGTCTTTTATCTGCACTTGGTTATGCTTCATGCGTATTGTCAAGCTCTTTGAGTACTCCTGGTTTTGTCATGGCATCTTATGTGTGTGTGTGTGTATTTATTTATTTTGAAGAGGTCTTTATGTTTATATTGAATGAAATTATTCCAGGGATAGAGAAAAATCTCGTGAAAGGGCAAGGGACAGAGATAAAGAACGGGAGAAGTCGCGTGAGCGCTCCCCTGAACGTGCCCGTGAGAAGTCTAGGGATCATGATAATAGAGAGGATAGACACCACAAGGATCGTGATAGGAACAGGGACAGGGATAGAGAAAGGGAAAAGGGAAAGAGACCGCGGTCGTGAACGTGACCGAGGTCGTGATCGTGATAGAGGGCGGGACCGCGGCCGTGATTATGAGCGTGATCGAGATAAAGAACGTGATCGGGAGCGTGACCGTGATCGTCCTCGAGATAGGGACAGGGATTATGAGGTTGGGGACCCTAACCACGACCGTGGACATTCCCGTGATGGTGAGGCTGAATATGCTCGTGTTGATTCAAAGCATGAGAGGGACCGTCACGGCGAAAAGGATCGAGATTATGACCACTTGGCACCAGAAGATGACCGGGGATGGTACGAACAACCAGAACATGGGCATAGGCACCCAGATCATGATCATGACAGTGATCATTATGAGCATCACCGTGGTCAGTACGACCATATGGATGTCCAGGATGAACGTGACCGCTATGAGCAACATCCTGATCATGATCGTGACCATTATGATCATATGGAGGATGACTACAACTATGAGCGTCGAGATGTGGACCGCGACTATCGACGATCTGAGAGGTCCCTTTCTCAGGAGTACTGAGTACTGAGGGTGGAAGTGAAGTGTCACTCCCAGATTTCCAACTTACATGCTTTAATCAACTTAAAAGATGACATTATATGGAAGCTGTTCCGCACAAGATACTTTGTTTTGGATTCAAATCCTTTGTTGTGTGTTCAAAGATCAAAGATTTTTATTTTTATTTTTCCGCTTTAGGTTACTTTTTTTATTATTATTATTATTATTTTAATTTTGCTGAATACCGCTTGAGGGTACTTGCTTTAGTTGGTAGACTTTTGTTTTTGAGAGCCTTTGCTGCTGGCGTATGTGGGATATTGTCGTTAGCGTGCAAGAAAAAGTGGATCATATTGTCTTTGTTGATGTTCTCAAACTCTTCTGTGCTTGAATTTTTAAATCGCACTAATATTATCTGGCAAAGTCTCCAGTCTGTACCGGAGCGCACTTATGTATGTTTTTTTTAAAATGCGTATTTTCTCTTTAAAATGTATACGTTTCTTCTTAAAATATGTATATATTATATATTTTACTATAAAAAAAAATGTATATATTTTAAGTGAAAATTTACACGTTTTAAAGAGAAAATATACATATTTTAAAGAAGAAATATACAAATACCGCTCCAGTTTAATGCCGGATTGGAGACACTTCCATATTATCAATTAGTATGCGAATCTAAAAAAATTCTCAATGCATAAACGTAAGTAATAGCATTAATAGTCTACACTTTTTTTGTTCTAACCAAGTAAAACTTCCTTTTATATATGGTTTAATATAATAACAGGATCATTAATGAAGTGTAGAAGACCGACTTGGGAAAGTATTCTCTCATTTTGTGAAATCTATTTGGAAGTTTGTATCCTCGTAACAGGAATGTTCTTTCCATTCCTCTAGCCTCTATATCTACAATATCAGCCGTCTTTTCATTTTTCGGATTAGTTGATCATTTTAATCAACCCTTGTTTTTTGTTTTTTTTATAATATGTATTTTCTCACACAAACGTTAGTCTTTAGTATTAAACTTTATTGTTCTGGTCCAAACTCTGACTTTAACGCATCGTTTTTCTAAATCACTGTGTATGAAAAGGACTTTTTTGATATAGTTTAAATGTAACTAAGAAACCACATTTTCAATCTCTGGAAATGTAAGGCAGCAACATAACAACATAATAAATCACGCCATAACTTTCTCTATTCATGTCAACAAAGAGATTTCATGCCACAAGTCCGTAAAGTTTGCATTTTTAAGAAAACCTAAACTTTATTTTTCCAAGTTTCATCCTTTTGGTTATTACTACCAAAGTTTCACTACATAACCAACATCAACGTTCAAACATGCTTAGATCCAATATAATTCCATTGATATTAAAGAATAATAACAATAAAGTTCCATTTTCAAACTAAAAATCATCAAACACACTTTTTCTAGAAAAAGTTTCAAACTTTTATACCTAGAATTCAAGAATGGATCTTTCACCTGGTTTACTCTTTGGTAGTCCTTAGATCTCCTTGATCCTCCTCCAGAAAAACAAACTATTAGAACTTGAATGAAAGCTTTATGAGGAGAAATGAAAAAAAATTCTAAGGAATTATACTTACACCCATGGCTATTTATAGCCATAGGCCTAGCCTTGAGAGGGCTTGCTTGCAATATTTTTTTGAATCATCTAAAGATGGAGGGGCTTCCTCGTGCAAATTTTTGGGGCATTTTATGAACATGATGGCTTTTGGTTGGTTTACGTGTAGTTGATGACTTCATAAATAGTGACATGGTATGGTGAAATGGGTGATGTCACGATAGTAACTTAGGTTTGGCGATGACTCAATTGTCTCGTTATCTAATCTCCACCATGGATCTCATCCATCGCTTAATCCTATCCTTCCTTTAATGTCCAGTATTCTCACATTCTTGCATTCCATGATTTAATGGAAATAATTGCCTGACATAATATTTTCTTAATCGTTTAAGATGCATTCATTCATGCTAATAATGCCTATTTTTTAAAATTGCATTATGTGCTCATTGTATTCATTGCAATCTATTTATAAAATATAGTGCAATTAAATTTTCATACGATAATACCTCGTATTACAACTTCCATTTCAGTTGCCTTGTTACAGAATTTACATGAGATAAAACAAAATTTCAATAATAGGCTAAGAAAGGCAGAGGATACCAAAATTACAATCTAAAGGCCATGTAGAATAATATATAGTCGATACACCAGAATGCATCCCACTTTTAGCAATTTTTCTGGAAGAACTACACTATACCCCTGTGCTGCTCCAAAATCAATCCAGGCATTTCAATGCACAAAATCGAAGCAAAACGGATTTAAATTGTAAACAATCAGCAAAGTCAGAACCAGCTGGCAAGTGCCAATTATCAGCATAATTTACATTTTAAGAAACAAATCAGTCTAAAATATAAGGAACAAAAGATAGAAGAAAAGAAAGAAAGAATAAAGAGATTTTACGTGGTTCGGCAATTTCACCTACGTCTACAGATCAGAATATGTTTTATTCATTCATGATTCACTGATGCATTTACAACGAATTGTACATGATTATATAGGGTTTAAAATTAGGCTAAGAGATATCCTACAATCAGAGCATATGAGTTTTCACACCCATATTACAATCAATCACTCCAAAAATGGAAAGGATCATAAAACATAAATACAATGAATATTTGACAATTATCTCAAATCCTAACACTCCCCCTCAAGTTGGTGCATACCAACTTGAAAAAGAGATAGCGATAGATCTTGGATGACGCTCTTCAACAGCGCTCTCCAATGGGATCAATGATAGCAAAGGATCAAAGAGATCAACAGAATCAAAGGGAACAAATGGATTATGGGATCAAAGGGATCAAGTGGGATCAAATATCAAGGATCAATGGTAGTGGTTCAAAGGATCTATGGGGTTTCAATGGATCTGTGGTGGTATAAAAGATCATATCAGATCAAAAGGAATGTGTGATTATATTGGCTATACGGTTACATGGGATTATATTGGCTATACGGGTTATATCGGCTAATGGGCTGGTGTGGTTTTACATATCACAAAATGAATGAGGAAACACGATTGACAGAGAAACGGAAGTGGCGCGACTGCTCTGTAGACGGCACTGGTATAGTGCTGGTGTTCGGTGCTAGTCTTCAATTGGTTTATGCAGGAGTTCAAATGGCCAGCTGATTGCGCAGGGATTTGGAGTTTGCAGATCCGAGGGTGATGGGGATGAAACACTTTTTTTGTTAAGAGCTAAGAACTCGCGGAAGGTGAAGAACGCTGATTTTCTGGTTTTAGTTTCCAAGCGCCGATAGGATTCAAATCAGCTCTGATACTATCTAAAAATAAGGAACAAAAGATAGAAGAAAAGAAAGAACAAATAGATTTTACATGGTTCGGCAATTTTACCTAAGTCTACGGATCAAAATATGTTTTATTCATTCATGATTCATTGATGCATTTACAACGAGTTGTACATGATTATATACGGTTTGAAATTAGGCTAAGAGATCTCCTAAAATCAAAGCAATACGATTTGTTCACACCCATATTACAATCAATCACTCCATAAATGGAAAGGATTATAAAACATAAATACAATGAATAGAGTTTTCTTATCTCAATTATCTCAAATCTCAACAATCAGAATAGAGTTCCAAGACAAAGATGTAAAACGTTTTCTTAAGCAATTCGTGCATAACTCAAAAAAGGAATAAAACAGATTCCAATCGCACGCTCTAAAGCTATCACCTCTTGCCGTATAGCTAGCTAAAATTTTCCTCGTGCAGACATAACCTCCACAATAACTAACATCCAAATTGTGCTATCAACCCAACTCTAACTACTTTACAATGTTTTCAGAGAAATAATATTTACAATGAACAGAATTGAGTAACTAATGACGGGGCTCATACTAAATCTGTGATAAGCCTCCCCATCAGTCAGGTTGTCAAACGAGAAGTGCGGAGGCTATAGGTGGAAGATTTGGTTAAAACCAATCCTGTTAGTAGGGAAGTTAGAAGGATATGGAGCTATTAGCTAGTTGATCGTGCATAGAAGGCCATTATAGGAGTTAGAGGGGCGATAATGAAGGGATGGGAAAAGATCAGTAGAGCAGTTATTTGGATGAGTGAACAATCAGCTCTTGCTGAAGGGAGCGAGACTGCACTCTTGAATATCCTGTCACATGTAACATTCTCAGATCTATTGATTTAATAAAGCCATTTACTGAGTTTTCACCAATTCTACTGTCTTCCCCATTGAATCCTATGAAAATTAGGTTTTCTACAATCTGATGGTCAAATAGCACAACAAAATCGCACAAAAGTTCCACCGAGCTGTTAAACACGTTAGTCAACAAGAACAACTAAAAAACTCATCACAGTTATAGGCTGATATTACAGAACATGAACAAAATCACCAATAACACTTTGCAATTGCATCAGACGGACTTCATATTACCAAATTATCAAGCCTCCTTTAAAGCAAAAAAAAAAACTTTGTACTTTATCAGGTCAAGAAATTATTAGAGAAAGTATTTAATTTTCAGTTCAACTCATATACTCGGATGCCTAGAAAAAAATACATGAAATCAGAAAAGATAGAAGGACAATTTAATAAATCAGAGGCAAAAAAATCAGGATTTATATACATCCTGATCCCACGTGCAACCAGCAAGAGAGACCAAAAAATCCCGCACAAAAGAAAAAAAAGTTGAAATCAGAAAAAAATAAACCTTCTAAAAAGAATTATAACAAAATCAAATCTATTAGTCAATAAGAAATTGCAATACACGTATTCTTACATATTCTTATGAATCCCCGAAAAAAGCAACATAACTCCAACAATAATCATCTTACGTAGAGAAAGAATAAGAAGAAATGGTAACACGAAAAAACAAAAATCAAATGCAAGAAATTTTTTTCCTCTAAAATTCCATCCTGTTTCAGACAATGTAAGAAGAAAAAGTACCAATTCCAGCAATACAAACACCAGAGGTCAGCAATAATCAGGAAAAATAAAGCTTCTAAAAAGAATTATAGCAAAATTAAATGTATTACTCAATAGGAAATTACACTACATGTATTGTTATGAATCCCCAAAAATTTATACGAAATAGGCCAAAAAAAAAAAAAGGAAAAAAAAACAACGAAAAAAGGGAAAAAAACGAAAACGAAGAGTGAAAAATCAACATGCAAAAACGCAAACAAAAACGGCGATTGAAACCAACACAAAACCCAGAAAGAAGAATGAGGGAGTCGCGGACAAACATAACAACATAAACCAGCAAAAAATCACAAATCGAATCAGTGAAGGAACTGAAAAAACAAAATAAAAAGTGGCAAAAT